TGCCCTACAGACTATTAATTCATACTTACTCCTTCATTTCTTTGGATGGGGAGTTGCATGCAGGTAAAAATGTTGATGTGTTACTTAATTTATCCAACGTGCAGGCTGTTCCTATGGCTCGCACTACTAGTCCAGATTCTCCCTCCAAATCAAAACACTGCAAATAACCAACAACAGCATTTCCTCTCATTTCAAGCACCTTCAAGCCAATCTTCCTTTGCAGTTCACCTACAAAACAAAAGGTAAAGAGCTCATAATTGCAGTGAAGTTTCCCTATTCTCTTTTGTGGTCTTTGGCCTCTGCTTTTGGAACTGCCAACCAAGTCAGCAAAACAGTGAATAGATCCCATCTTGCATAATTACACCAAGCTGGTCACAATCTCCACCTCCTATAACATAGTGGGATGTTCATGATTCGCCCAGGTTTTTCTCCTTTTTCTCCAAATCTATTCTGATTGCAACGACATCTTACTTCAGAAATGATTTTTCTGGTTTTCTTTTCATTAGCTTTTCCCTTTTTTACTTATTTAGAGCACATATGGTCAAGACATGTACTGGAACACACACAAGTTCCTCAATACTCCTTCACACAGTTCAGAACAATGTAAGATCTCTGAAATCCATGTGGATAGGCATTCATAATTTCTCATTTACTGAAGCATATTCCAAACTAATCCATATTTTTTGCTCTGTTTATATTAGTAGCATTTAACATTGCAGCCTCATCTACGAAATGGAACACCACACAAACAAAACATGATACCAAATACGCCACTCTATGCAAACAAGACTGCTATCAGATGCACACAAAGACTGAAAGACTGTAACTATAAGACAATGGTTTGCCATAATGCTTACCCAGCAGGATGTTTACAAAAAAAAAAATTCATTGACCCATGTAGCTAGATAGCCTTGGTTATACCAGGTGGAACATACCTCTTGGGAAATCAAATTCTCTTTTGATGAAAATGAAAGATTTCCAAACTCCTCTGTTAACAAACTGAAAAAGCCTCACCACCACAGAGCACAGCCTTACAGACTCACTGTCAACGTTACGAAATGAAGCGAAATGAAATGATCACTACTGCTTTCGAGAAGCTTGGTTTCTTTACAAAGGCTGAAATTATGCACGTACTTAGAATTATAGAATGGTTTTGGTTGGAAGGGACCTTAAAGATCATCTGGTTCCAACCCCCCTGCCATGAGTAGGGACATCTTCCACCAGACCAGGTTGCTCAGAGCTCCATCCAACCTGGCCTTGAACATTGCCAGGGAGGGGGCATCCACAGCTTCTCTGGGGAACCTGTGCCAGTGCCTCACCACCCTCATGGTGAAGAATTTCTTCCTAATATCTAATCTAAATCTGCTCTCTTTCAGCTTGAAGCCATTACCCTTTGTCCTATCACTCCATGCCCTTGTAAAAAGTCCCTCTCCAGCTTTCTTGCAGACCCCCCTCAGCTACTGGAAGGCTGCTGTAAGGTACCTGCGGAGCCTTCTCTTCTCCAGGCTGAACCACCCCAACTCTCTTAGCCTGTCCTTGTAGGAAAGGTGCTCCAGCCCTCGGATCACCTTCGTGGCCCTCCTCTGGACCCGCTCCAACACATCCATGTCCTTCTTATGTTGGGGGCTTCAGAGGTGGACGCAGGACTCCAGGTGGGGTCTCACGAGAGTGGAGTAAAGGGGCAGAATCCCCTCCCTCGCCCTGCTGGCCACGCTTCTCTTGATGCAGCCCAGGATACAGCTGGCCTTCTGGGCAAGCACACATTGCTGGCTCATGCTGAGCTTCTCATCCACCAGTACTCCCAGGTCCTTCTCCTCAGGGCTGCTCTCAAGCCACTCTCCACCCAGCCTGTACTTGTGTTTGGGATTGCCCCGACCCATGTGCAGGACCTTGCACTTGGCCTTGTTGAACTTCATGTGGTTCACGCAGGCCCACCTCTGCAGCCTGTCAAGGTCCCTCTGAATGGCACCCTTTCCCTTCAGTGTGTCAACCACACCACACAGCTTGGTGTCATTGGCAAACTTGCTGAGGGTGCACTCAGTCCCACTGTCCACATCACCAACAAAGATATTAAACAGCACCGGCCCCAGTACCAACCCCTGAGGCACACAACTCATCACTGGTCTCCACCTGGACATCGAGCCATTGACTGCAACTCTTTAAGTGCATCCATCAAGCCAGTTCCTTATTCAATGAGTGGTCCCTCTGTCAAATCCATGTCCTTCCAATTTAGAGACAAGGACATCATGCGGGACAGCGTCAAATGCCTTGCACAAGTCCAGGTTGTCTTGAAAAAATCTTTAAGACAGAAGTACAGTATGAAACTTTCTAGCTGAGTGAAAATTTCTATGGATTCCATTCAAGACAAGGTTGAGACTGAACTCTTTTTTACATATACAACACACAGTATGACAGAGATCTATGAAACAGCCTGGGTCACTCTCAGAAGCTACAGATGTCTTCAGGATTCTTTAGGTGTGGCCATCAGAAACAATGATTGCAACATGAAGCATTGTATCACATGACATGAAACAGTATTGCTCCAAGGTCTTTGGTGTTTTTTCCTCTTAAACCACTGCCACGAATAAAAGTATTAATAAAATCTAGCAGAATACTTCCACATGTGCTACTTTACCCGCTTTCACCATTTATGCAAGGCAAGAGATACGCAAATGTTAACCCTGTAAACTGACATACCAGAGAAGCTATGCTAAAAACCTCACTAAACGTGAATTCATGTCAGTTATGACAATATTGGTTTTCCACATTTTTCCTCAAAACATGCCGGCTCTCCTAGTGAAGATACTGAGTAACATCTCCATGATGTCTTTTATGTTGCCTCACTTAAAGATCTCCATGCACGCTTGCAAAATCCAATTAACTTTTTCTTGTATTATCTTTCATAAAACACAGCTGTATCTATAAGAAATCTAAGAACATTAACAACCATTAGAGAACTGAAACCACTGGCTATCATACTAGTGGCTATTTTTCGTAATTCCTTTGTATTCCTTAAACCTGCAATATTGTCCACGCCCATCAACTGGTTGTCAGATGCCTTAGTGTGCAAGTACTCTAGGGTAGGAGTGTTTGGTCTGTTCTACTGGCACTGAAATGGGTGTATCTTAGTTCACAACTGCTGTTCATAAGCATCAGTAAACCAACAACAACAACAAAAAAAAAATCTGTAAATATACTCGATACTGTAGAGACACCAACTGAATCGAATGACTGGTCCCTCCAGGAACTGCAGGTATGTCCTGCAGAATCGATGCAAGGCAATACAGAAGTATGCCTGAGAAACAATGAACCAATCCCGACTTTGAAAAGATGCGATGAGTAAGGTAAGTATTAATACACACTGTATCTGTGCTGGCGTATATTTGTTCATGTGCTTCAAAGTAGTTCAAAGAGGGCGGAGTAGTTTATTTTAATTGTTTGAGCCACTTCTAGTGATACTCCACATACGGGTTAAGACCATCTTCAAGAGAGTTCCACAGGCTTCTTCGACCTTGCTAAAAACCAGCAACAAATTAGACAACAACATGGCCTCACCAAGGGGGGGGGGGAAAGAGCAGCCATACTGGCCATCAGTTAGGACAACAGAACTTTGAGAAACAGAAGACACTGTGAACTGAAAAAATAAACAGAATTAATAACAAAATTCATACATATTCTTATCATAAGCAAGTCACTTAAACGGTGAATATTTTAAAAGCAGCAATAACCATTACAGCCTACATGTTTAATACCTGACATGAGTGAAATAAGTCTTTGTCTGGCCTCATTCGATGCCCTTGGTGTACGAATTCGGTCTATCCACTGGTATTCCGGGTCTTCATTAACTACAAGTTCTTCCACAAATCCATGAATTATTACTGCTCTGTAACACTTAGGAATAGATGTAGCTGTTAAAAAAAACCACATACATGAAAGATATAAGGTCTGAGACTACGAGCCAAGAATTCCAAGAAAAACATAAAATTACATGTAGAAAGTGATGGAAATGATTCCAGAAAGTAATTCACATGATTTTCTGTTAAAATGTGGACATACCCAGGCAGTTTTATTCTGGAAGACCCTGAACACCGATAAGATAACTGTCCAGCATATCAATTACAACATGTACCATTATGAAACTTCTTCACTTTGTGCCTCTGTAACAGGATATGCACCCAAAGTAACACAATGTGCGTATGCACATGCACTGAAACACAACTTAAGAAAGATAAACGGGGGGGGGGGTGAGTTATTTACATTGTTTTGAAATATGAACAGTAAAAATTTATTTTAAAAATTTAAAAAAAAAAACCACTAAACCCTTTTCTGCATTTGCTACTGGCCTCACTGTAAACTCCAGTGGGCTTATGCAACCAGCTGGTGAAAGAAGGGAAACTGACAGAATAGATAAAGAAAGAAAAGAAGGGGGGGTGGGAGGAGTATTCTGTTCAAATGAACTTTTTTCCTCTACTTACTGCAAAAAAACTTGACTCCACAGGATGACTGCCTAAATCTGTTTAAATCATTGAAGAGATCTACTTTCACCACCACATTGATCTCCCCACGTATACCTATCAATAAAAAACATGAAAAATGAGAAGCTGCATCAGAAGCGAATACAGAATTAGCCCTAACAATATTCCCTATTATTAGTAATAATACACTTTCTCTTGCCAAGGAGTCAGTTTTTCTGCAAAGAATGTACCACAACCCTGCTAGAGCCACTCGGTTCAACTGGCAGGTCATGTGTCAATTTTAGCCTGGGCCAGAGGAGCAGGAACACATTTCCTTGCCTCTCAGGTCTGTTGCAGAGACGCCCTCTCAGACAAAGTTTCTAGCTTTGCCCAGCCTTTGAGGCTGAAGCTATGCAAGCAACACTCCTCACATACCAAATGGGACTTTAGAAGAAAAGATGGGATTGGGAAAAGAGAAGCCATCAGCCTCCTGAGGCTGCAGTGGCCTCTGTTGCAGTGTGCAAGAGCTCTCTGTGCTCCTTTGCCCTGTACCATCAATGCTAAAGGGTATAAAACCACTATCTAAGTACCGTGACCGTCCCAAGATATCCTTAGCACAAAAGGTCAGAAGTACTAATTTTGAGTATAGATGCCTTGAAACTGGAGTCCTGTCCACATGAAAAAGCTCTGACCAACACCAAAAAGGTTCTACATTTTCTCCCTGAAATGGTTTCAAAATCGCAGTAAAGCTAGTCTCTGAAGTCCAATCCAATGACAAAATTTATGGCTCTTTCTAGAACAACACAATGGCACAGTAAATGTTTGTAAGATACTCTGGCTATGAGAAGAAATATATAAAAAATAAGGCACTACAGACTTTTAGACAAAGCTTAATTTTTGGCCACAATTAAACCTTACTGATAATTGAAGAATCCTTCAACACAGCCATTCCTAATTTATTTTTCTGCTTTCCTGTTCTGAGCCTTTTCTTCCTTTTTCCCTACCCAGTAACAAAATCAATTCACATATTATAGGTTCTGACATATTGAGGACTAAACTTCTTGACGGGTCTGCTCTCTACTGTCTTCAGAAGCCTTTATCACATAAGTATATGATGCTCAAACAAAAACATTAGATTTGTAGATTGACTCTGACATTATTGCAATAAAGTCACCTAGGTCTAACTTCCAAAATGTCAACAGAAAGAAGCCTTCAGTTACTGTAACAGGAAGTGCCTCAGGTACATGCATTTTCATAAATAATCATGTTGAGGTGCAAAGAAAATAAAAATTTGTAAACTTTTAAGCAAGCATCAATTACTGTTTGCTGAGGATCAAGACAATCAGAATCTACTGCTATGAGCACGAAAATACAAGAATTCTAATTTTACTTCAATAGAAAAAAGCTGTGGAATACTAACAGATCTAGAAAAATATACAGAAATCTAACTCTGACATATAAATTGTACACATCCTAAGACAAGTGTTCACATAATTTAACATCAAAAGAAAATGTACGACAGGAAAACGTGAATAGAATAAAAGGATAAGAAATACACATGCAGTATTTCTTAGAAAAACCCTATTCAATATAGTTGTTTCAAATGTAAAAAATACTCTGCATCAGTTATGATCGTCTAGTAAATACTATTAATTATTTCCAAACAATGATTTATAATTAGCTTTTAACATAATTAAGTCATTTAATGTGCACTGGATAATGAACAAGGGTGGTAATTACAACCACAGAGATGTTCTGTAATAAGGTGTTCAATCAGCAAGCTAATTGCTGCAAGCCGACCTTGACTTTCTGGGACAACAGCTGTGTTTCATTAAAATCAAAGGAAAAAATATCAGTAACTTCATTGTCTCAAACCTTCAAGATGTTCTGATGAAATCTACCCAGCACTGAGAGTACTTTCTGCAGGGAAAATGAATTCAATCCCATCCTGTATGTTGAAGATACGTCACCTCCTGTCCCTCCATCTCTAGTGAATTTTATTCAACATCACACAAAGGCACACCCCAAATGACTTCAGCAAAAGTATATTCTTTTAGTAAACACGTGGTAATTGGAAAAGTATGTTTGGGTCTTTTTTTTCTAATCTGAATTTTGCAGTAACTCTTTTAAATAGCTTGTACAGATTTTTTCCACTTTTCACAAGTTCTATGGCAGGTGTTCTGCCAAGCACTAGTCTGAACTACTACGCCAGAAATAAGGAAAAAAAACGCCAGAAAAGTAGTTTTCCAGCTCCCAGGGCTAAAATTATTGCCGTAGTATTACAAATTATTACAAATTTCTGAAGATGGCTTACAAAAATGAAGATTCTCAGAAGCAGATTACATCTCAAACAACAGACTTATAAATCAGCAAATCTTACCATGAATGGTATCATAAATTGGAAACCATCCTGAAATAACTGTAGCTGCTTCACTATAGAGCAAAGGATCAATATCTATGTACACTTTGCCAATGGCATCATTAGCACTGTAGGTATCATGATCAAGAACTGTGATCTGGAGAGGCTCATCTTGTAGCTCTTCATCATCTACCTAGAAGCAAATATTAACACAGAATCTGAGTATTTAAAAAAATGCGCAATGAAACACAACTGAAAAAATAAATGCACAAAAAGGGGAGAATTAGTTATGTACAGTGACCTGACACAGACAAATCTGTAATTTTGATCTCCTGTACCTAAACAACACATTCACTTATTTCGACTTTACACTTCACAGACTGGTGAGATCCTGGAACCAGAGTTATCACTGGGAGAAGAACAGAGAAGCAAGACTACAGCGATTATACATTTTCAAATTCCACGTGATTTAAGTCATATTTCCTAGACTGTCTACCTGTCTCCACAATACATACTTTTCATTACAAAAGATGAAAATGTAAGATACAGCATTTCAGAGAACTGTTATACTCTGAAGTTATTATTATTGGCACTCTCACCTTTCCAAACTGGTCAGGGGCTTAAAAGAAGGTAAGACCTTTTATAGAACCAGCTGTTAAAATTCAGTGATTTCAGACATACACTTTCCTAAACAAACGCAATAATCCATCTGCAGATACCTCAACTATTTTTTAGGACTTACAAAGATAGACATTCTACAACTTTGTGTGTTGAACATAACAAACCAAGAATCAGGTTTGATAGATGCAATGGGATGACTCACGCCAGTGTTTGCAAAACTATAACTCATAGTCTTGCAAAAAGGTAAAACTACACACACACACACACACACTTACGATGTCTTAAGCAGTCAGTGTTTTTCCACTCTTTGAAATGTGGAATTCTCCCCCCCACCCCGCTACTGTTTGGCTCTTTTCTTTCCCAAATCCATTTTTCCATGCAAAAAGACAGAATTTTGAGACTTTGGTTACTGTCAAAAAAACTCTTTGTGTATGAACACAGTTAACCCTCCACACAGATCAGCTCTCTGCCCCCCAGAAAAAACGACCCCTGGAACTGAAACACAAAAAAAGAAAACTGATTTAATTTCAACACCACTGTACTATTTTCTAATCAATATGGATTGCTGATTAAAAGATGCTCTTAATCAAGCATTCTATTTTGATTAATGATCTAACCTTACTATTTTTAGTCGCTCTAAAATACTTACATTACTAGCTAATGTATCACTCATTACATATACAACTATGTTTATACTGTCCTATTATCTTAGAACACGATAAATGAACCAGTACTATATATTCAAATGTTTTAACAATTAATTTATTCCACACACCATTATACAATTAGTTTTTAAAAAGTAATAAAAAATGCAGTACCGAAAAAAAAAAATAATATGTCAACACTTCTTCAGCGCACAATATCAAAGAACATCAACAAATTAGATCCTGGAAAGCAGCAAACAATTACCGGAAAATGCTGAGTGCCTTCATTACTACATAAGAAAATGGGAAGAGAAAGTGTCTGATAATTTTTGTCCAGGTTCTTTATTTTGTAATTTTCTCACAGGAATTCTCAATTTTCTTCCTTGTCAAGTGTGTTCATTTGCAACCCAAAGCAACATTTCAAACACCAATTAACTTTCTTTACTCAAAATTACCCCCAAAAAATAAACAAGCATACCCGTACTGGTGTCTGAAAGCCTAGTACATAATGCTACTTTCCCCCCTCTTTCACCTCTGTCTTGCTTTTTTTAGTACTACCCAGAATAACATATGCATTGGATCAATCTGGCAAGCTTTTATCTTTACAAACAGTCCTAAAAAGCCAATCAGATACTTTTAGCAAACAAGGTCTAGCTGTAGGTAGCTCTGCTGAAAAGGTTTCATGTGTATTTACACAGAAATACACTTCACTCCTCAAAACTAATCTTCTGCCTGGAATTAAATTGTTTCATTAAGGGCATCTAAACCATAGTGTCTATACAGATACAGGCAAACTCTTAAAAAAATACTTACTTCAAATTTGAACCACTCAGAATTCCACTGAGGATTAAGAGATTTGGGATACACATCTGTCTTAAATGTTGTATTTCCAAATTTTACCTAAAAATACAAGTATTCAATTATTCAGTAAATATTAGCAATTAAATTTAGAAACTCATTAAATCTACACATGCAAATAATTTCAAATACATATTTCAATATCAACAAACTCTCTTCAGTGAAAGTGGCTTTAATTCACTCACGTATCAGCAAGGAACTTCCCATGTATCAACACCAGTTCCAATAAATATCTCTCTCCCGCTATTAAAACTGTTTCTTTTCCTCCTCAACCACTTGAGGTAAAAATATCACTTGTATTGGCTATTCAGAGTCACTCTTCTGTTTAGAAATACTGTAAGCAAACATATTCTATCCAAACACTAACAGTTTATGTCCCATGACTGTTCTCTCTAGGGTTTCTAAATCAGCTTTATCGACAATTTATAGAAGAAATATGGAAACAAATGGTAACATCGGTAAATTTATTAAATCTCCACAGAAAATCTCCATTAACTGCACACACACCAATAAATTCAGAGCAGCAAGGAGGAAGCACCTGATCAGTTTCTATCCCTTTCTTAAAATCCAGAAAATTCCAGAAAGCATATAGCAAAAAGGTTTGAGGGACTACACACCTCTCTCTACATCTCTGTAACCTCCAGTTACTGAAGATTAAATATTCTCCATACTTGCCTGGATTAATGCACCTTCAACCACGGAATAGCCTATTTCAGGAATTTCCATTTGGTGTCCCCAGGGGTCCATTCCAAGATGACCCCATTTGGGGTTTGTTCATTTTGTTTTTTAAAAAAAGGTGAAACTGAATTTCTCTGTTGCTAAATACGTCAAGAAACTATGCTGCACAATGCAAGAGCCTTTATGTGACTGCAGCTTTCTTTCCAAATCATTCACAAACACCTGTTCTCTGAATGTTGCCTCTCAAAATAATTAGTACTCGAATTCCTACTAAGTAAAGTTATGTTTCGGAATTCATTCAAGACTCTTAAGAAAACAATGAGCGTCCTGATACAAAAGAAAGCTGCAGTTAAAGAGAGTTGTGGATTTTTAATGTTGGGTGTTTTTTTTTTTAAAGTCTACATAGATTTTGGAGACTAAATTTCATCTTAGCTTTTGAAAACTGTATAGCAATTTTTTAAACACGTTTGCTCAATAAATAAACACCTTATACATCTCAGTAATACTATGATTATGTTGCACAGGTGCATACCCTAACTCTAAAGAGATTCTGCACTTAAGTACACGGAGTTAGTTTTAAAAGCCTAAAGCACTGCAGAACTGGGCTGTGAGTTCACACTAAGCTCTGCATATATACCCGTAGGTACTTCAGTCACCAGAGCTCTGTACAGCATTTGCAACCAAAGAAACAAACGAACAAACGGCAGGGCTCCCTATGTGATTCAATGAACAGTAATGCTTTTCAAAGAGAAGCTACTTCAAAGCAAGCTTTGAGGTTTAAAGCCAGAGAAGTACGAAAACACAGGACTAAGCAACCTCAGTGTAAGAAGTCATCTAGCTATGGGAAGGTGGAAGCAGGCAATGTGCATACAGAAAACTAACAGCACTGCCACCCAGAAGGGGAGTTCATCACACAAAGCCGTGTAACCAAGTGATACTGACACAAGTTTTAACTGAGCTACCTTACACACCACGAGGTGCCAAGAGGCAACAGCCCACAGCTCCACCCAACCTATTTTTACACATTGTCTTGGGAGTAAATTGGTTCCCTTGGAGCCCCAGGCAGCTATAACTGAACTTCTCCAGTAGTCAAGCTAGTTCATTAAAGCTAGCAGAGGTAATCAAGCACTACACTGCTGTCTGCTGCACAAATTTAGCAGCACAGTTACAGAAGAAATTGTGCTAATTTGCTCCAGATCACACACACTAGCAAAGTCCAAGTTACGTATAACCTGAGCCAAGCAAGAGCTCTAAATTATTTTCTCATTTTCGTTTCTAATTCTAGATTTATACTAGAAAATTTAACAGGGAAATTAAAGGCTAATAATCAACCAGTACCTTAAGATTACTTCAGCCATTCATTTTTATTTAAGTGAAAATGTTTTGTAAAGGTTTCTGCAACCTTACATGGAAAAATAAAACAATGGTTTCAAGCTCAGTTTATTCTGACTTAAATCTCACCTGCTGCCTTGCCTACTCCACACACGCAAAGAGCAGTTCCCACCACCTTTCTAAGTAACAGTCCCAAAAGCAAGGCCTCATCAATGTATTTCTATAGCCTTATCTGTGCCAAGACATTCAGGAAACCGCACATTGACCCAGGTAAGCAAACTGATCTTTCTGAAAAATTTTATTTACCTTTTTTGCTAAGTTAGTCTGTAACCAGATGAATTTCCAAATCTATTTTGTTACACAGCTACTCAGACAGCGGGGTTGGCACAGACAGAGCAGGGTTGGGAACAAGTGACTAACAGGAGAGGAGAGCGGTTTCTCCTCAAAGCAGCATTAAACCAGGCCAAATTAAATTTATCAGAGCACTCTATTTCCTATCGCCGTTTTCCCTATATCCTCGTAGCGCACATCAGAGTTGTGGTAGGCTGCCTATTAATCAAACTCAAAATTACAAGAGAAGCATTTATAAACTAAAAACTGACCGATGAAACATCTGAAACCAAACACTGAAATAGTAAGTTAAATGACTGTCATTTGTGTAATAAAACAGAACCCCGTGCTATCTCAGCTCCATTGAAAAGCACACAAGAAATACATTTTCACTTTATTACCAATTTATTGTCCCACTATGCAATGTACTTAGTGTCTAATGCCAACCAAATTTTTAAGCACCAAACCAAATTACGACATCAATATCATGAGACTTCTCAACTTACACCGTTCCATAAAGACATTCTGTCTTCCTACCTTAATTCCAGCATTGCACCAACCTCAACTCCTATCCACAGTACAAACATGCATTTACGCAGCATTCCACCTCAAACACCTCTTTGCTTTTTCGTAGAGTACGACTTCTGAATCTATGGAATGTTACTGCAATGTTCCAAATTATTTATATTAGAAATAGGGAAAATAATAGCAATATTCAGAAGGGTCACATTACCCGCTTTACAATCCTTCCCTGAGAAATGCCCTATATATTACCTGTTAACTATATGATTGTGAACAAGGTGGAGTTTAGATACTTTCGGTAAAATAAAGTGATTTAAACACGCGAACAAACTTAAATATTTGTCCAACAAAAATTCTCTTGGAAAATACTGTGGTATTTCAAGTACTTCAGACAGAAATACGAATACGTTCCTTAAAAGCAAAGCCTTTTACAACCCTCTGCACTTCAGGTATTCACAGACGACTCAAACGCGCTTCTGCTCCCTCACCCCGCTCACAACGCGCCCACCGAGCCCTGAAATGGACTCCGCCCGCCTCCTGCACCGCCCGGAGCCACTCGCTACCAACCCGCAGCCCAGGGGCTGACCCAGCGCCCTTCGGAACCTACGCGGTCACCGGCCAAAAACCCAGGGGTGAATCA